ATCTGGTTGGTTGTTTGGGGTGTGTGTGTGTGTGTGTGTGTGTGTGTGTGTGTCTGTGTGTGTGTACCATCAAATTGGATCTGACTGGTATAGGAGGAGATTGTTCCTCCTTCTCCAACAGAGCATCTGCTGGATTCGAATTCTGCACCTCTGGGATTGCAGTGCAGCTTCTTGTCACTAGGCTACCAGAGCTCACCTGGCCAGGGTTCTTTTTAAATTGTTGTTAAGTGCTGTCAGGTCGCAGGCGACTCATAGCAACCCTATGAAGGAGAGTTCTCGTCGCTTGGGTGGGTGCCTTTCATCCTCTCTCCAGGTTCATAGGGTTTCCAGAGGCAAGCTCTTATGGAAGTGGATGCCACTCCTCCTTCCAAGCTTGTTTTCATCGGGGAGCTCCATCCCACTCTCTGTCCGCATTGGGTAACCAACCGTTAACGCATTTGACACATCAGTGTCACAGTATTCAGCTTCACAGCAACCAAAAGTGACCGTGGTACGGCAGCTTGTACACCAGTGCTATACGACCTAGAGGAATGTCTGTACAAAAGCAATGAAAGACAGGCCTGAGGGCCGCGGATTAAAAGTCACCCAACTTTGGCTTGGTAGCATCGCTTTCTGTCCACTGGGCCAGCTGATCTCTCTCTCGAAGTTGACTTTTTAAATTAGTTTGGTGTTAATTTGTGTTTATAATGAACGTTCTCCTAAATGGTACAGCATTGCCCTGTTAATTTGCTATACTGAGGAAACTTGCTGTGATACTCACTGTTGTGCCATTGGTGTCTCAAATGCCATAATGGTTACACATGCTTAACAGTGTTTGGTGGAGTACCCAGATTAAGACAGGCATGGAAGCAGGAGTGGCATCCATTTCCTAAATAACATGCCTCTGGAAACTCTATGAACTTAGAGAAATAACAGTAGTTATAGAATAATAGTTAACAACAAAAGATTGACAAAAAAGTAAAAAACCATAATTTAAAAAGACACTAATCCTCAGTGCTGAGATGATGGAGGAACACAGACGACTCACACATGGCCCATCAGAGTGTAAATTGTCACCATTTTTTAATTCATCTGACATGTCTATTAATATTTATTTATAACTTTGACTCAGTAATCTCACTTTGAGTTATGCACAAAAGCACCACTTTGCAAAGGGTATAAATAAGATGCTGATTGCAGTATTATTTGTTATAAGAAAAACCAGATCCAAGCTCAAATCTTATCATTGAGAAAATGGTGGTTAAATTGTGGATCAGCTATCAAATGGAATGTTATTGAGACAATGAGTTACACTTACTGTCCCTGTGGAAAGTTCACAAAATATTATTGAGAACAGGAAGTTGCAAGCTGATACACACACTCTGAAGGCATAAAAACAAACAAAACAATCTAGCTACATTGAGCATGGGGAATGATAATCAGATTTTTTTTTTAATTATTGTTTTCTGTGTACTGTCAAATCAGATCTGACTGGTACAGGAGGGGATTGCCCCTACTTCTCCGGCAGAGCATCTGGTGGATTCAAACCGCGTACCTCTGCGATTGCAGGGCAGCTTCTTGCCACTAGGCCACCAGAGCTCCCCCAATAATCAGATTTCTTACAGAGTTGGAAATGAAATGGGTTTGGGAAGAAAATCATTAGTTTTTTATTTATGTAACTTTGCATTGATTCTTTAGTTAGAATAAACATAGAATTTGAAAAAGATAGTAAAAAGATCACTTAAACAGGAGTACCCTTAAGAGTAATGCTTCATAACCAGTAAGGGAACTCTGATGGCCCTGTCAGTAAGGGGTGATGCTAACCCAAAGAAAGGCAGGTAGTTCAGATTCATCAGTTCAAATCCTTCCAAGGGATAAAGATGGGCATTGTCCTCTGGTGCAGTTTACAGCGTCTGAACACCCACTGGAGGGTCATCCATGTGTCAGTTCCAACTTTATGGCAGTGAGTAATAGCAGTTAGCTACTATTTGTTGTTCCATTCTTAACCTTGCCAGTTGGTGAAACTTTTGCCTATATTCCGTTGACCAGCGGGAAGAAACTTCCGTTTCATGACGTCTTAGAATAAGGTGCTGATGTTCTCAGCCCTTGAGTATTCTGTTTTGTTTTTTTTAAATTGTAATAATTTTAATGAACGTTTACAGAGATTTTGGATTTCCATTCATTCATTGTTGCACTTTTCTCCCTGCCCGGCAATACCCCCCACCCCCCCAGTTCACTCCTCTCTTTGAAAAGTAAAAGAAAAATTCTTTCTTTGGTATATAATCCCACTGCCCCAAGTACACTCCACTATGCACCCTTAATTCTGGACTCTTGTGATAACTATAATACCCTATCATATATCACTTTTAAATTATTCTCTCCCTCATCTGTTTCGATGCAGTATACATAATTTATCCAGTTTTTCTCAGTCTTACCCCAACCCTGATACCAGTCCCATTCTATAACAGTAGCACCATGCAGTATTTGTCCTTTTGTGACTGAGATATTTCACTCAGCATAATGTCCTCCAAGGTCACCCATTTTGAATAATATTGTGTGAGCTCCTTGTTTTTCAATGCAGCATAGTATTCCATTGTGTGAATATACCACAGCTTCTCTATCCATTCATTTGTTGATGGGTACCTGGGTTGTTTCCAACTCCTTGCTATTGTGAACAAATCTACAATAAACATGGGTGTGCATATATCTGCTTGGATGTCAGTTATGGTCTCTGGGGTATTGAGTGTTCTTAAGGAGGAGATCCTAGATGCATTTCAGGGGTTCCTCTGGGATTTCTGCTGATAATGTGCCTTCAATTTTGCCTGCAACTCAGTAATCCAGTGTACAGTAGCTCTGAAGTCTGCCCAGTCCTGAGCCAATCTCACCAACACACCTAGCTCCATTGCCCCAGTTACTGTATTAATCCATCTCATCTGGGGTCTTCCTTTCCTGTGCTATCCCTCTACCTTTCCGAGCATGGTGTCCTCCAGGGACTGGTTCCTCCTGGCCACATGCCCAAAGTATGTGAGATGGAGCTTCAAACTCCTAGCCTCCAAGGGAAAACTTGGTTTCACCGTCTCCAAGACAGATCTGTTTGTTCTCATGGTGGTCATCTGTAGATTTAAGGGACAAGTTGTACAGCTTACATCAGATTCTTGAAAGATGGGGCAGGGAGCCCAAAGGTGGTTAACTGCTGTCCTTTTCTAGAGTGATACTGTGACTCTTGTTTCCACAGCATTGACTTGGGCAAGGCAAATGAGCCCAACCATGTGGAGCTGGGGCGCAAGGATGATGCCAAAGTTCATAAGATGTTTCTGGACCATACTGGTAAGAGATAATAGAAGTCCGAGTGGGGGGGCCTGTGGGTAAGTCACTGCCCCAGAAGGAGTGGGCAGGGTCTGAGAGTGGTGGGGGCAAGAAGACTGAAGGAGGGAAGGGCAGCACCCACTAGGATGCCATCCTCTCCCCCACTCCAGGCTCTCACCTGCTGATTGCTCTAAGCAGCACAGAGGTCCTTTACGTGAACCGTAATGGACAGAAGGTACGACCACTAGCACGCTGGAAGGGGCAGCTGGTGGAGAGTGTGGGCTGGAACAAGGCACTGGGAACCGAGAGCAGCACAGGCCCCATCCTGGTCGGCACCGCCCAAGGTCAGATCTTTGAAGCAGAACTCTCTGCCAGCGATGGTGGCCTTTTTGGCCCTGCCTCAGACCTTTACTTCCGTCCACTGTATGTGCTAAATGAAGAAGGGGGTCCAGCGCCTGTGTGCTCCCTAGAGGCTGAACGGGGCCTCGACGGACGTGGCTTTGTGATTGCCACCACTCGTCAGCGCCTCTTCCAGTTCATAGGCCGAGCCACCGAGGGGGCTGAGGCCCAGGGCTTCTCGGGGCTCTTTGCTGCCTACACTGACCACCCACCCCCGTTCCGAGAGTTCCCCAGCAACCTGGGCTACAGTGAGTTGGCTTTCTATACACCCAAGCTACGTTCTGCACCCCGGGCCTTTGCCTGGATGATGGGAGATGGAGTGTTGTATGGATCACTAGACTGTGGGCGTCCCGACTCTCTGCTGAGTGATGAGCGAGTCTGGGAGTATCCAGAAGGGGTGGGTCCTGGGGCCAGTCTGCCCCTGGCCATAGTTCTGACCCAGTTCCACTTTCTGCTGCTTCTGGCTGACCGAGTAGAAGCAGTATGCACACTGACAGGGCAGGTGGTGTTGCGGGATCACTTCCTGGAGAAGTTTGGGCCACTGAAGCACATGGTGAAGGACTCGTCCACAGGCCAGCTGTGGGCTTACACTGAGCGAGCTGTCTTCCGATACCACGTGCAGCGGGAGGCCCGAGATGTGTGGCGCACCTACCTGGACATGAACCGCTTCGACTTGGCCAAAGAGTATTGTCGAGAGCGGCCTGACTGCCTGGACACAGTCCTGGCCCGTGAGGCTGATTTCTGCTTCCGCCAGCGCCGATACCTGGAGAGTGCCCGTTGTTACGCCCTGACCCAGAGTTACTTTGAGGAGATTGCACTGAAGTTCTTGGAGGCCAGGCAAGAGGAGGCACTGGCTGAGTTCCTCCAGCGAAAGCTGGCCGGGTTAAAGCCAAGTGAGCGTACCCAGGCCACGCTGCTCACCACCTGGCTGACAGAGCTCTTCCTTAGCCGTCTTGGGGCACTGCAGGGTGATCCAGAGGCCCTGACCCTCTACCGGGAGACCCGGGAGCGCTTCCGTGCTTTCCTCAGCAGTCCCCGCCATAAGGAGTGGCTCTTTGCCAGCCGGGCCTCCATCCACGAGCTGCTTGCCAGCCATGGGGACTCAGAGCACATGGTGTACTTTGCTGTGATAATGCAGGACTACGAGCGGGTGGTGGCATACCACTGCCAGCATGAGGCTTACGAGGAGGCCCTGGCCGTGCTCACTCGCCACCGTGACCCTCAGCTCTTCTACAAGTTCTCACCCATCCTCATCCGTCACATACCCTGCCAGCTGGTAGATGCTTGGATTGAGCTGGGCAGCCGGCTGGATGCCCGGCAACTCATCCCTGCCCTGGTCAATTATAGCCAGGGAGGTGAGGCCCAGCAGGTGAGCCAGGCCATCCGTTACATGGAGTTCTGTGTGAACGTGCTAGGCGAGACTGAACAGGCTATACACAACTACCTGCTGTCACTGTATGCCCGCGGCCAGCCAGCCTCCCTATTGGCCTACTTGGAGCAGGCAGGGGCCAGCCCACACCGTGTGCATTACGATCTCAAGTATGCACTGCGGCTCTGTGCTGAGCATGGCCACCACCGCGCCTGTGTTCACGTTTACAAGGTCCTGGAGCTGTACGAGGAGGCTGTGGACCTGGCACTACAGGTAAGCCAAGGAGTTAACCCCAACCCAGTCAGATACCTGGAGAGCAGGAGCTACAGATGTTGAAGGGTTGGAGCAGAGAGCAGTGACTATAGGTTACCGGCTTTTATAGCAGGGAGGCACTGCAGTGTGTGAAGAGCAAGGACTCTGAAGTCAGGATTTGTGTTATGGCTCTCCAGCTTAGTAAGCCACATAGCTTTGAGTTAGTTTCAGAACCTCTATTTTTTCTGGATAGTTTAGCCACAAAATAGGGGTGATATTTTAGTATTGTTAGGTGTTGCTAAATTAGCTTCAACTCATAGTAACCCTGAGTACAAGACAATAAAACCCCTGCCCAATCCTGAACCATTCTAACACTCTCAACTTCCCATTGTTGCAGTCACTCTATCATGTTTCATTGCAAGTCTTCCTCTCCTTTACTGTCCCTGTTTCCAAACATGAGGACTTTGTCTCAAGACTGGGCCCTTCTAATAACAGTATATGAGACAAAGTCTGACCATCTTCACCTCTAAGGAATATTTGGCTATACTTCTTCCAGAACAATCTGTTGATTCCTTTTATTATCCCTGGTATATTTCTATTGTTAATCAACAGTACAATTCAAAGGCATCAATTCTTCATTTTTCCCTATTTATCCAATTTTCAGATACACATGAAGCAACTGAAAACAGTGTGCCTCAGATCAGGTGCACCTTAATCTTTAAAATGACATCCTTAAAGTGCAGCAGGATTGCCAGATGCCATAAGTAATCTGACTTCTTTCACTTTGTTTAAGCAAGATTATATCTGTGTATCACAGGTTATTGATGCTGTATTTCTCATATAGTCCAATTTCTTCAATTATTTGCTTAGCATACAGGTTTGAATAGATATGATGAAAGGATATAAACCTGACACACATCTTTCCTGATTTTAAATCATGTATTATCCCATTCTTCACAATATTATCCATAATTTATTATGGTCCCCACAATTTAATTCCTTGACATAGTAAAACAGATAAATACTTTTTTAGTATTTCTTTTTAGCCATACGATTTATGATATTATTCAGTAATTGCTGTATTTTGTTGGATCACCTTTTTTTTAGATAATTTTTGTTTATTTATTCTTTTTACGTGTGTACCGTCAAATTGGATCTGACTGGTACAGGAGGCGATTGTTCCTCCTTCTTCAGCAGAGCATCTGGTGGATTTGAACCGCGCATCTCTGGGATTGTGGTGCATTTTTTTTTTTTTTTGAATGGTCACAAATAATGGGTTGCTACCAGTCAGCTGGCCAAGTAGCTGTCTTCTAAATTTTTTAGCATAGATGCATGAGGAGCACATCTGTTTATTAAAAAATTTCAGTTAGTAGTCTGTCAGTTCCTGGAGCCTTATGTTTTTGCTAATGTCTTCAGTGCAGCCTAGACATTTTTATTCTTGATCATTGGTTCTTGATTATATGCTACTTTCTGGAATAGTTCATTGTAAAGCCAGTTCTTATTGGTCCATTGATTCTGCTCCTTCCATCTTTTTATGTTTCCTGCGCTCTTCATATTTTACCATAGAATCCATCAGTGTTACAACTTAACACTTGATTCTTCAGTTATTTGAGCTTGAGAAATGCTGAATGTGTTCTTCCATTTGATTTTCAAGTTCTGTATCTTTCCACATTTTACTATTATAATATTTTACTTTGTATTCTCAAACTATTAATCATGGGGGGGTGTTTAAAATTTATTTTAATGAACATTTATAGAGACTTGGATTTCCATTCATTCATAGTTGCACACTTACTTTCCTCCCTGCCCACTCCTCCCCCTAGTTCACTTTTCTCTTTGAAAGGTAAGAAAAAAAATTATTTCATTGTTATACAGTCCCCCCACTCCCAGTCCATTCTACTGTTCCGCTTTCATTCTGGACTCTTGTCATGACAATATCTAATCATACATTCCTCCTAAACAGTTCTCTCCCTCATCTGTTTCAATGCAGTATATACTATTTATCCCCTCTTAGGTTTCCCTCAACTCCAATGTCAGTCCCACTTCACAACAGTGACACTATGCAGTATTTGTCCTTTTGTGACTGAGATATTTCACTCAGCATAATGTCCTCCACGGTCACCCATTTTGAATAATATTTCATGAGTTCCTTGTTTTTCAGTGCAGCGTAGTATTCCATTGTGTGAATATACCAGAGCTTCTCTATCCATTCATTTGTTGATGGGCACTTGAGCTGTTTCCAACTCCTTGCTGTTGTGAACAAAGCTGCAATAAACATGGGTGAGCATGTATCTGCTTGGGTGACAGTTCTGGTTTCTTTAGGGTATATTCCCAGTAGTGGAATTGTTGGGCCAAATGGTATTTCTATTTCCAGCTTTTTGAGAAAGCTCCATACTGCCTTCCATAGTGATTGCACCATTTTCTCTGCAACCTCGCCAGCATTTGTTGTTTGCTGTTAAATTTTGCTGTTCTTACTGGAGTGAGTTCATATCTCATAGTAGTAATCATAGGGTTTTCAAGACTCATTATTTTTGGAAGTAAGCAGCCAGTACTACTTCCTGCTGAGTCTCTCTTATTCTAGACGCTCTGCTGAAACTTGTCCATCATGAGTGGCCTTGCTGTCATTTGAAATACAGGTGACATTGCTTCCAACATCACAGCAACACTCAAGCCACTACAGTATGACAAATTGGCACGTGAGTGGAGGGATATTGTAGTAATTACCTCATAAAAACCAGTTAACCAACTCGTGGTGATCTCATGGAAATGTGACTCATGAAGTTTTTGTTGTTGTTATTGTTATATGCCATTGAATCAGAACTGACTCATAGCAAACCCCCCAGTGGGTCTTCAGAGGCTGTAAATCATATAGGAAGAGTTTGCCTGTCTTTCTCCCATGTAGCAGCTGATGAATTCAAACCCTGTGCCTTTGGATTGACAGCTCAACTTCTTACCACGAGGCCACCGGAGCTCCCTGTAAAATTTTTAATATCTGGTAGACCTAGTTCACCAGGCCTTTCTCTTTAGGTATGTCTAGGTGGGTTTGAACATTTGGTTGGCACAATAATTGTACCACTCAGGGACTTCTCTTATCAGCTTGATTAAAATACTATATTTAGTAACAATAACAGTGTCTGGTACATAGGTAAGTTCTGTGTGTTAGCTGTTACATTACAGTCGGGGGAAAGCTGAGCTTCAGGTGAACATTTCTCAAAGCATGGATGATACCTGTCTTAGGTTTATTTGAAGTGTTATTTAAAAATGCACTAGACCTAGGCTTGAACTCAGAATGTCTTAGAGTGGGGCCCCAAACTGCATTTTTAATAGGCACCGCAGGTTATTCTGAAGTTCACTAAAATGTTAAACTCTTTGCCCTAAGTAACTTTTATTACATATCTGCAGCAGTGACAGAGGGCCTTTTCCTGAGACAGGTTCCTGTCCTAGTCCCTTGGGGCTTGTCTCAAGCTCATATTTTCTCTGGGCCTCTGTCGCTCTCAAAATGTTTATCCTGGGGTGGAAGTGAGGGGCTGATCTAAATACCCATGGTGTTCCCACAGGTGGATGTGGACCTGGCCAAGCAGTGTGCAGACCTGCCTGATGAGGATGAGGAACTGCGCAAGAAGCTGTGGCTGAAGATCGCGCGGCACGTGGTGCAGGAGGAGGAAGATGTGCAGACGGCGATGGCCTGCCTGGCCAGCTGCCCCCTGCTCAAGATTGAGGATGTGTTGCCCTTCTTTCCTGATTTTGTCACCATCGACCACTTCAAAGAGGCCATCTGCAGCTCACTCAAGGCCTACAATCACCACATTCAAGAGCTGCAGCGGGAGATGGAAGAGGCCACAGCCAGTGCCCAGCGCATCCGGCGAGACCTCCAGGAGTTGCGAGGCCGCTATGGCACTGTGGAGCCTCAGGACAAATGTGCCGCCTGTGACTTCCCCCTCCTCAACCGACCTTTTTACCTCTTTCTCTGTGGCCACATGTTCCATGCTGACTGTCTGTTGCAGGCCGTGCGGCCTGGCCTACCGGCCTACAAGCAGGCCCGGCTCGAGGAGCTGCAGCGAAAGCTGGGGGCTGCTCCACCCCCAGCCAAAGGCTCTTCTCGGGCGGCCAAGGAGGCAGAGAGTGGGGCTGCAGCTGGGGGCCCCAGCCGGGAGCAGCTCAAGGCTGACCTCGATGAGTTGGTAGCTGCAGAGTGTGTGTACTGTGGGGAGCTGATGATCCGCTCCATCGACCGGCCCTTCATTGACCCTCAGCACTATGAGGAGGAGCATCTTAGTTGGTTGTAGGAGGGTAACACTCTGACAGATAGATGGGCAGGAAGACCACACCCTGGTGTCTGCTCAGTCACCTTGAGATTGCTGGGCTCTGTCTATATTGGAGGGACTGGAATCAGCCACTGTCTACAGGGTCTCAGCTGAATGTGTTGGCCAGCTTCTCATACTGTTCTTTAGACCTGCCTTAGAGCTGCAGTAGAGCAGGCCATGCTCCTGCCTCCCAACAGATGGCCTCCGCCTGGTGAAGTTGGAAAGATGACCCCTTACCACTCCTCCCACATCTATCAGCTCTTTTGTCCTTTCACATCCCAGCCTGCTCACTTTCCAGAGCACTGATCATTCCTTTCTTTACACTTTGGCCTCTCAGACTCCGATCTCCTCTCTCAGATGCCTCCCTCTCTTCTTTCTGCTCCTTGGCCCCTAGAAGGGGACAGACAGCATCTCTTAAGTCTTGACACTGGAGTGGGGGCGTGCTGATGGTGAGTATGCTGTTGTGTCTGGGGCTCCGTTGGGAAGGATACCCTGGGACAGAGCCTTCATGAAGGACTGTGAAGGATGGCGAACATTAAACTGTGCAAAGTAATGCTACTTCTGGAGTCTTGGCTTTGTGTCACTGCTAGGCTGAGTGGTACACAAGTGACCTCAGGATCAGGTGCCACAGGGAGACTGCTAGGGCCCTGCATGCCATCAAGCATGGTCTTTAGTTCCCCACCTACAGGGAGATAGGATGATGTCTCACTTCCTTTTCTCTTGACTTTAACTATTAACCACTCTGATTCCAGGGATCAAGTGGAAATTTACAGTTTAATATCTGTAGGGTAACTATAAACTTGATGGCAGTTTTTTGGTTGAGCAGGCAGAGATTTTTTTCAGTGACCTCTGCCACCAGGGGCCACTCAGTCTGGGGGAATGTAGCAGAATGTCACAAGACCCAGGAATGTAGGTCCCTACTCCCCACATCCTCCTCCATCTGGAAGGCTGCCAGAAACTAAGGTCCCCAGCCTCCCTGCCCAGGCACAGCAGCATCTACAAAGACATGGCCAGGACAGCAGGTCAGGCCAGCTCTTTTTCCTCCATCTCTTCCTTAACTGACCCCCACTGTGGCCATGATACCTTAGTTGCCACGACAGCTGGAGCTGGGGGAAATTCCTCAAGTGCATCAAGTGTTTGCACTTGGCATGGCATGGAAATATGTTGGCTGCTTTGAAGCGCAAATGGCAGATGAGGTACTGATGGACATGGTGGTGGTAGACCTCCTCCCTCACTTTGTGGAAACAGCAGAGGAAGGCCAGGCAGTGGAAGGCCCATAGGCTGGCATGGATGCTGCTGTGGCATCACAGGTGGCCACAGGTTAAAAGTCTGCATTCATAGGGCTTTAGCTCCCAAGTGGGAAATGCTATGGTGCTCCAGGCCAAAGAGGTAGAAGAAGGCCCAAAGGCAGACAAAGCAGGAAGTCAAGAGCTTTCTTGGGTCCAGCCCCTTCAGATGCGCCTGCTGCTGATTTGGACACACCTTGGTCATTAATTAGCAAAAGGTCACTGCCCTCACCAGTATCCACTGGGAATGACACCTCCTGAGTCAGCAGGGACTTCTGCCCTGTGCTGGTGGGATCAACCCCATTTGTAAGGGAAGGAGGCTTTGGGTGTTTCAAGGAGGCCCCCAGCACTCTAATCTTGGTGGCCCCTGAGGACAGGATGAAGCCTGATGTTTCTTGTCCTTGGGCAAAAGTGGAAGGCAAGGGGTCTGGGCTGAAGGAATCCATAGAGTGGTAGGGGGCATGTAGCTAAGCGGTGGAGTCAGGCTCATTTATAGGTCTCCTGGACATGTGCAGCATTGAGGCCAAGCCAGAATGTAGGGAAGGGCAGGCAAGGTGGTGGCGGATGAAGATGCAAATAGTCGTGGGTTTGGTTTTTAAATCATTTTGGAGCAAGGACTGTTACTTCCTTCAGCCAGCAGGTGGTGCTGCTCCCCACAGAATTGTTAGCATTCAGCCACCTGGGACACTACTATGCTGCTTCAAGCCATTCCCTTCTTAGTTATCCTAAGAATTTTGGGGAGATACTACTGTGGTTTTTAAGCCTTTCCGTTTTCCTCCTTTCACTACCCATTAACTATGTTAGACTTTGCTTTCCCATTTCTTAGCCAAGATTTTCCCCAGCTAGCCTTTACCTGTAATACTAAGGCTCATTATCAAGGTGAAAAAACAGCCATTACTGCCATCTATGGTGGCAGATATATTCTCTCCCTATCGAGTCTCTTGTGACCCCTCTTTCCATTCATCATGCTCCTGTAATAGTGGCAGGAGGCTGTTTCAGGAAAGCCTGGAATGGGGCCCCCTGACATCAGCTGAACACCCTTTGCCCCACAGGCTGATGGTCACAGTGCACTGCCTGGCTCTATGGGTGTGGCCTATCAGCTGGCCCAGACTGAGACAGAACACCACCAGTGTTCCTGGAATCTGGTGGGTTACACCCACCTGGCTGGTGACTATAGGTTTCTCTTCCCCTGCCCCCAGTGTAATCATTCAAGACTATACTAAGTTCTTCTTGAATCTTGTCTTGCTGATTTCTCCACCACTGAATAGCAGTCTTTTTCACACTACTGCCAAAAAGAAGGCCTAGAGGCTGTCCCAATTTTTACGAACCTCTGGAAGCAATGGTAGCAAATGGATGGCAATGAATTGCATTGAGTGTACTCCGTTCCAGGAATATTTGGAGGGCTCCTCCTCTTTTCCACTCCCCATATGGCCTACAACTTTCCTCCCAGCCAGACAGGTCCAGAGGAGGGTTGGGGGGCTCTCTGGTCCCCATTGTCAGCATTGAACGTCAAAAGGAGGCTGCACAAGGGTACTGGCTTGCTTGCTTTAGTAAAACAGCTTGGGGCTTCTGTCTTTCTACATAATGGTGCTTATACTACTTGTTAGTTAAACAAATACTGCCCTATTGCTCCCTCCTCCCAGAGGGCTTGGCAAAAGCAGTCTGGGACGCCCCTGCCCCTTCTGTCCTTCCTAAGCCAGCCCATCTGGTCCTAGGCTGTTTCCTCTTTCCTGGAAAAAGGCCTTAGGCTTCCCTGGCACTGATAGAATGGTGTTCCGGTGAGTCAGGGCAATGGGAAGCCACAGCTCTTCGATCCCTGGAAACGAAGCATGGGCATGGGAGTAGGGATAGGGGAAAGAGGAGGGGAGGGAGAAAGCCCTTGGGACTTTGGCCCTGAGCCTGGGGGAGGGCCAGAAAGGGGTAATGCTGGGGGGCAGCTGCACGGGCAGGGGCCAAGATGAATGAGCTGCTCCTGGAGCAGTCACTGGAAATAGAAGGAGTGGCCACAGGCAGTGACGCTGAGACCAGGGCAGGAGGCCTGTAAACAAGGAAGCCACCTGGGGGAGATGCAGGGCGGCCACTGGTCCTGCGGAGCAGGTGCTTCCTGAGGCCCGCCCTTCAGAAGGCCCTTGGGGCCGCCCGGCCAGAAAAGTAACAATCACTAGAGGGCGCTGTCTGCTGGTGTCCCTGAACCTACCGGATCCCGCGGAAGACTGGGGGTGTGGTCACCAGAGTGAGCCAGCCGAGGTCCGACGTCCAGCCTGCCCGCCAGCCCGCCCTGCTCCTGTCCTCAAGGCAGGCTGGCCAAGGGCACCAGGCCTGGCGCAGAGGGCGAGGAACTCTGCCTGGCCAGCCTGGGTGTGAGCTCATTCCCCGGACCACCAGTTATCTAAGTTCCTGCTCCCTGTCCCCAGGGCTCCAGTCGCAGGCCAGGGACTGGCACCAACCTTGTTGATTGGAAGGGGGTTCCGAGGCCACCAGGCTCCGGGCTGCCCTCAGCTGTGTCCCCTGGCGCCAGGGAAACAAAAGGCTAGGGGCCCAGAGGGAGTTATCTGCCCCCACCACCATCAGGATGGAGGGGAGGGGGCTGAGAGGGGGCACACCTCCTCTCCACTCCTCCAACTCTGCAGATTCTTCGAGACACTTTCACAGGCGGAAATTCCCAGAGGTCAGAGGAGGGAAACGGTTAATTCCTTTTATTCAATGGGTCCCCCCTACACGCCTCCCCCAACTTCCTCCCTCCACTTCCCGCCCCCCCCTGTGTGAACAGGAAGTGGAGAGGAAAAGGCTCTGAGCGGAGCAGCTGGGAGCTGGAGGCAGGGAGTGGGCGGCAGGCGTGGTGCCAGCCCTGCCCCTCATGGTTACTAGCTGGAGGGCCAGACGCCTGTGGCCTGGGAAAGAACCTGCAGCCCCGCTGGAAAGTGTCCCGGTGTCCAAGCCTCACTCCTCAACCTGCTTCCAGGTCAGACGTATCTGAGTGTAAGGCACCCTCAGACCAACACCCAGCTGCCCTTGCACCCCAGCCCCACTCCCAGCCCCAGGCTAGGCACCCCAGGTCTGGCAGGCATCTCCAGGCAGCCGTCAGTCCTGGCACCAGCTCCAGCCACTCAGCTCCTTGGTCCTGCCAGTCCTTTGAAGCTCATGCAGAGCTTCCTGTTTGGGGAGGGTGATGCCAGAGCCCCTCCCCCACCATTGTTCTGTAGAGACCATAAGTCCATCTGTTGCCCCATGGTGGAGCCCCTGGGCAGTGCCACACGGAAGCAGCATCACAAAGGACCCTGCTGGCTGTCTTGCCGATGTGGAGCGAGGCTGGGCCCTGCAGCAGGTTGAGGGTGAGGGTGCTCAGAGGCAGGCCAGGGTAGGCGCTGATACAAGGAGGATGTACCATAGCTTTAGTGCTTGGGCAGCTGGACTCCTCTGCTGTCTCTTCCACCTGGAGCGTCCCAATAGTGACATTCAGGGAGCCATGCATGCTGAAGCCACCAGAAGAACACCACCATGATTATGCCCAGGTTCCAGAAGGGACAACTGAGGCAGAGGGGCAAACTTTGGTCTAGGTTGGCTAATAAAGGAGTACAAAGCAGGGTTCACCTTTCAAGCCTAGTGCCTGCTCTCTGTACACCCCATGATTGGGTGCTTTCATTTCTCTGAGCAGCTTTACCTTTTCAGAGCTTTTGCCTGTAAGTAGCCCTCTCA